TCTCTTGTTGGTTTTTCTGACGAGAAGAGATAAAGGAACTGAATAAAAGTGCGAATAGTGACAATGGAGGGTTGTCAGCGAAGAATCGGTTCGTGATGTAAAAATGAGATGTTATTGAGAGTTGTCGACACTGTTGAAGATATGTGGATTAACAGGACGTCGTTTCACGATGTACCAAATCAGTAGTTTGCATCCTAACAACCCTTAAGTCAATCTGCTGACCGTTGATGATTAGGGTTTGATTCATTTTTGATCCACTGACCATAAGACGCTATGAGGTATGAATACTCATCACTGGACGCGTACGACGTCAGTTGATTTATGCCACTACTTCCGAAATTTTTTACCCAAGTGCCACCACTCTTCTGTGATGGTGTCACAAGATTTCATATAGGCATATGTTCTATGCAATTTATAGACCTTCAACCTTATGGAACCACTAAAAGTGAGGCTTTTAAGACACTTAAGCTGCTTTGAAAAAATGTTTGTTTGATTGCGATTAGTACAGAAGTGCAGCATCCTTCCAAATTGGTACTTTGCCTAAGAGGATAGAAACTCTGTCTTTACACATCAGTAGGTCTCACATATCCGACTTCGTTGTTGTTCCCACCAGACATTTTTATTACAACCACCTTCAGCATCCTGCATAAAAGTCTATCACCGAGTAAGCCTCATTCGAAGAGATGACCAGATGAGGAAGATCTGAATCGAAACGAAGGCAAAGCGGTCACACAGAGAAGATTAACAAGCATGGACCATCGACTCGGATCATCGGCCCTGGTGAAGACGAAGACATCGAAATGTTTGCCCAAAAAAAACATATTTATCGACCTCGTGTAAGCTCATCAAAGAAAGAGTACATATTGGTAAGTCACACCGAGAGCAAAGAAAAGTCGGTTTCGAAATATTACAACGCAATGTGCTACCTGTTGTTAATACTTTATTTCATGTCTGAAGGGTTTTGGCATTTCGAGAGGCATTGAAAATATGTGTTTGATAAAAAAAATCATACCCATTTCTAGCTTGTACATTCCCACCATCAATGATTTTTTCGAATTTCCAGGACTTTTCTCTGTAGCTAAGAGTGAGAGGCTTTCGGCAATTCACAAAGTTTCTGCGAAGTAGGCGATTATTTGTTTGTGACGCTTTCTGAAACCTTCAACGAGTGATTTCTGAGAAGGAGAATTGGAAATGTTTATAACAAATTTTCGTCAGTTTGCACGATGTCTCATGGTAGGGCTTAAACTATGTGACGCCTTCATTAGGTTGGAATGCTATGACAATTCACGGACAAAGAGTTTCAGTCGGGACTTTCTTTCCCCGCAGAACTATTCGAAGGCACAGTCACTGTTGTGAATTCATCAGCTCCTTTATTGCATTTTAGTAAATGTGAAAAAGGAGTTCCGCAATGTTTTAGTGAATTTCTGAGCAACGAGTAGTTGCGCTGCAAGATTGTTCTCCCACTTCCCGTACACTAATATAATCAGAGAGCGAAGGGTATTGAAGAAAGAGATTCCGCTGCTGTCTAAGTATTAGTTCAACGCCGGTACAGTTGTTTATTTCAAAAATCATAACAGGTACAGTGTTCATTGCATTCTACCTTAGAGCAATGTGTAGTTCTTCAGGTGTTCGTGATTGCTAATAGTGGAAAAAATGTGCCATAGAAATATTACCAATTAATATTATGCATGAAGAAATGAGAACTTAGTGGGGCGAAACCATTAGTCCTTTTGGGAGATTTTCACAAACGGTGAAGGAAGATGAGTAGGCGCCTCCGTATTGCATTAAGAAATTTGTAAGCTATAAGCAGTTTTGTACGTGTTCCTCTTTACCAGTCGTGTGATTTATATCGCTAACCCTTCGAGTATTGGGTTTTTAAAGAGTAAGCACTACATTTCTAGGACTCTGTCCATTACCAGATTGATTTAATCGCTTTGCGAATTCCCTGATACCGTTTCAAATTCCAAATCACTTTTTGTTGGGGCAGATGAAATAGGGATAGTTGAGCGGACTACGTTGCACACCATCATTTCAGCTTTCATGGATACGAGAAGGACGCCATCTCCAAAGAAGAGGACATACTGGAAGGGGTGAAACCGTTCCATCAACGATATCGAGTGGATCGCTGAGGGCACAATCTTAAATGAATTCCTATGATAGACTTTCGATTTATTAAACAAGGCTTGGTGATTTCTTAAACTGTGGCTCGAATCCGGAAAAGTGCCAACATTTCTTTGATACTTCTGGTGAGGTTGGAGGAAGGGATAAGGGAAAAATGAATGAGTGTTGAAGTGGCGGCAGTGAAGCACTGAACCGAATAGAGTTGCTTATATATTGTTTAAGCAAAAAGTTGTTTTCTGTAATTGTGCAGAATTTCTGTAATGGCACAGTTGCAAAAAGTTATTGTGACAGCGAAATGTTGTAGACAGCTTTTTGCCCATGTTGACGATACATGTAGAAATACAGGATATCCCTGGACATAGAGAATGTTCTTTAAATTCCAGAGCAATGAAGGCAGTTTTCTATTAAAGCCAATGATCAGTCTTAAATTGATCTAGTAGAAATTTTAAAAAAGCGATTAATCCTTTGTGAAAACTACGGTGAACTATTCAGGGCTTCTAGGTCCATTTTTAAGATCCGCACCGTTGGCTGTGGTTCCCGTTATAATGCGCTCACCTCAAAATTTTTTTTACACTTTGGAGACTTACATAATTAATAGCTGAACGATCCGTCCTTACTTGCATCGCTGGCTTCAGCAAAATTTCCACTTTTTCGGAGTTTCGCATGTTTAGCCACTGTGGTTCTCTGCGGTCTCGAGGTAACTCTGGCTGAAGTCTGCCCCACGTCGTCTCCATCATAATTACTCGCCGCCCTTGTGGATCAGTGGGAGACTTGCCACTATGCAACTAGTCCGGTGCCAGTACGGTGGATCAAGCCGGTATTGGCTTACTCCTAGCTGGGTATCCTGATGGAAAAGTCAGACTTCTTTTCAGCTTGGGTACCTTACAGAGGGAATGAGCCCCTCTCCCCGCTGTAGATCGTAGCCCGAAATCCAGAAACGCCGCAGCCACGACGAAGCCGTAATGTTTTTGGAGGATGCCATGTGTAACTCCCACGACCGACTTTCTATTAACCTCGGCATTGATCAAGTGATTTTCTTCGTATTTTTGTTGAGCAAACGCGAGGTGTCACTATTCTTTGTTCACGATTAAGCTGACGTTTCGGCGGATTTCGCCTTCTTCAGAGCCTGGAAAGGTCAAGATGATAGGAACTCACTCGGCCAGACGCCTCCATAACCAAACAAAGAAACTCCAAACCAAGATTTCAATCACTTTGAACACAGCTTTGCACACTCACCGCTTTCTATGAGGTTTCCACTAAGTATGTCACGTAGAGACCAACCGCACAGAAATCACGTGGAAGTATAATGTGCCCCTCACATCAGAAAAGCACTTTTATATACTGCCCTATATCACGCGTGATAATGAGGCATTCTTCCCTGCTGTTCATTTTCGGATTTCTGGAATAAATCCAGAGTGCCTCGAGAGTTTTTCGCGCCTTTGTTCTTGATTCGCGTGCGAGGATCGTGACACATACTTCGAAGTCGTCCCCGTTATGTCTCTGGATCCTGTGCGTGCCTAGCGGTGTATTTGGTCCATGTTTGCCGGCTAGGTGTTCTTTTATGCGGACACAGAGGGGTCTAACCGTTTCGCCAATGTATTCGTCACCGCACGTCTTACAGGAGATCAGATAAACTATACAGGAGCCCATGCAATCACCGTCTCTACCACTGGGGCAAATTATGCAATTTTGAGTTGCACATAGACGGTCATATAGGCGGTTACGAACTAGCTGGCGCTTAAGATTACTCGGTGGTATTTCAACTACGCTCACCGAATTCTCTAAGCCCGCCCTTCTTAAGCAGCGTTTTATAGCTGTACTTATATCATTTGAAATGAAGGGTAGGATAAACAGGACCCTTCTATCGCTAGAGTTGTCGTTTGGAGACCTACGATTTCCTCTACACCTATTCTAAGCTACAGTTTCGTAGCCATTGGAAACGACTATTTGCCGTGCCAAGTTCCGGGACTCCTCTCTCTGCTCTCTTTCCGTGCACACGTTGGTTGCTGTTCGAAACATGTTTCTTATAAGCGCCCTTTTCGTGTGAGAGGGGTGAGAGGAGAGGTAATGAACCAAGATAATTTTACTACTTGGCTTTCGGTACCACTTTGTAATGTAGCCATTTTCTGATAGGTGAATTTGTACGTTCAAAAATGGAAGTACTACTTAGCTTTCGGTACCACTTTGTAATGTAGCCATTTTCTGATAGGTGAATTTGTACGTTAAAAATGGAAGCCATTTTTCTTTCGGCTTTCCTCGGGTGAACTTGATATACTCTGACGGTGCGTTTAACAATTCGAAGCATTTGTCCATTTCCTCTTGTGTTGAGCAAAGGACAAACCAGTCGTCTACATACCTACAGTAGAGTAGCGGCCCGAGATCAGTCACCGGTGCTTCCAACTTAGACATGAATGCAATGGCAAGGCTTGGAGCCAGTCGTTGTCCCATTGCCAACCCTCTTATTTGAGCGTAGTCCTTTCCAGACCATCTGAAGATTGAGCAGCTCAAGCATTCTTTTAAGAGTGCCGTCAGGTGCTCTATCCTGAAGCCATACATGTTTATTTCTCTTTCGTGTTGTGTAAGGAGTTCGAATATGGCTTGCATTGCGGAGTCATTCGACACGTTTGTATAAAGGGCGGTAACGTCGAAGGACTCCATCACGCACGCGCTGTTGGGCTGCGCCGTACGTAGACGATCCAGAAACATCTGGGTATTCGTAAGATGGGCTGGAATGTGTTTCAACAACTGGTTAAATATCAGGGTTAAAAACCATGTTATCCTGTCCGTTAGCCCGTCTACGCAGCTACTGATAGGTCTAAACTTAAATAGTGATGTATCGGTAAACGCAAGATCATCGCTGGATACTAACTTATGAGTTTTTATAAGTACAAGACGGGGCATGTTGGTAAGTCAACTTTAAGTTGAGAGATAACTGTTGGTTTTAAACCAGCAGCCCTTGCCATTTTCGCCCATTCGTGGTTTAGTTTTCGGTATTTACTTTTGAATTCCTCCTCAGATGATGGGCGATAAAGCGAAGCATCCTCAAGATGCTTTTTCGTTATCTCCACATCTAACTGATAAGGAATTACGACAAACTCTCCACCCTTATCACTAACGGAAAGTCTTATGGTTTTCAACCTTATCAGGTCTCGTACCTCTCGCATACCACGTTTTTGCACTGGAGTGAGGTTGGAGCTGTATCTTTTCGCGCGATAGTGATTAAGGACTTTGAGAGTTTCATTCGCAAACATCCGAAATTTAACATCAACTTCATTATTGGGCTCTTGTTGTCTAAAGAATGCCGGGGGAAATGGTGCTATTGGTAGGGCCCCCACTTGGTGTTGTTGTTGTTCGCACCTATTTAGCGCTTCATCTCTAGCTTTTTTGCGGAGTCTATCTTGAATTTCATGTAAACCACATGCGACCCTACGCAAGGTTATCTAAACGCTGTCTGTCGTTTAAAAATTTTGCACTCGAGTCATCTTAACAAGATTGACAGAACACTTGACGAAGGGCAGCCATGTGAGCAAGCATTGCTTCGGAAACCACTGGGTACGATGGACCATATCCTCACGCTAACAAAACTCACCGAAACATCACGATGGTAGAAAAACCCACTCTGTCTCACTTTCATCGATTTAAAGGAGCCAATTGACTCCATTGAGATAGACGCAGTCATGGAAACCCTTAATAGTAATGGACTCCTTACGCAGTACTTAAAGATTCTTCGTGACGTGTGCAAAAATTTCACAACCAAGATATTACCATTTCACAAAGATGTTGACATTGATGTCAATTGAGGAGTCAGGCAAGGCGAAACCATTTCGTCAAAATTATTTACCGCCTCCCACTAAAACGTCGTGCGAAAACTGGAATAGGATAATATGGGAGTGAAAACTGAGGCCCGGCAATTACACTATCTTCGCTTTGCTGATGACATCGCCCATATAACACCAAACAATAGCCATGCAGAACGCAAGCTTACTGGCTTTGATAGAGGCAGTGGAAAGACTGATCTTTGACTAAATCTCACAAAAACGATGTTCATGAAGAACGGATTGGTTTGGCATGCCCCAATCACGCTTAACGGAACGAATATCACTGAATGCTCCAGTTACATCTATCTAGGTCGGGAAATCATCATAATGAACGACTCAGCTACAGAACTGAGCAGAAGGAAACGAGCGGCCTGGAGAGCTTTTAAGAGCATCAAGGATGCAGTGAAGAGAAAAAAAACACCCGACTCGGTGCCCACTTTTTCGACTCAACGGTACTTCCTGTCCTAATACATGTATGAGAAACTTGGTCGCTGCGTAAACGGGATAAGAAGTCATTCAGCGCTATTGAACGGGCAGTCGAAAGGGCTATGCCAGAAATATACTGTGTCACGCAAGTAAGGAAACGGATCCGAAGCTCCAATCTGCGTAAACGATCAAAAATCAAAGATGCCATTCTGTACGCCAAACAGTAGAAGAGAAGGTGCGCCGGACACGAAATGCGTATGAATGACAACCGATGGACAAGAGCCGTTAGTGAGTGGCTTCCTCACGATGTCAAACGAACTGTAAAAACGCCACCGACCCAATTTTTAGAGTTATTTACGAAAACTATAAAAGATTGATATGATGCTCAACGAACGAGTTCCTAGAGCGAGCAAACCCACTGGGCTACTTTCGCACGCGACAGGGAAAATAGAAGAATAACTGGCACCCGCTCGAGTCACTCGACGATCAGTGGGACGATAGCTGATACAGGTGATAATTATCGCATCTGTCAATTTAGTAATTACATTGTTTTTTTCTTGCTGATAACATTATTATAACACCAAATATGAGCCACGCGTAACGAATGCTTGTACAATTCTATGAAGCGTGTGAAAAATTCGTCTTCGACTAAATCTCACGAAGAAGATGTCCACGACGAATTGACTCTTTTCGTAAATCCTATTCACACATAAGGGTAGAAATATCTTCGAATGTTCCAGCTGCTAGCTCTGAAAATTAACATGTTGCCACGACTTAATCCCTTTGTGACGAGCATGAAATTTGGCCGGCAGATTCTAGTCATCTGTCCGCGCAATATTTCTGGAAGCCATCTCTGAATTCTTATCTCATCTTTAAATCTAAGCCACATTGTGAAATACCCACTTGAAAGAAGAAAGGTGGATCATAGTTTTCAGCAATTTACGGCGACGGCTTCCTCTTTCATCTTCATAACTACCAGTGAGTCTTTTGTCACAACAACGCAAGTCTCCAAATTTCTAGTTTTGACTGCCGATGGTTGAGGTTTGGTGAAATTACGAGTATATATAAGCGCATCTAACCCTTCCAGTTTTTGCTCATTCACTACATTAAAACACTTTTCAAAATGTCTTCGATTCTTCTTTTTTAAAAGATAACATTGCCAATTTACAAGTGGCTTTGCTTATTCGTACATCAATCCAATGCATTTATTTTCGCTCATGATCACAATCCTTCTCTTAAATTAAGGTAATTTGTCCGATAATTAATTATCTTAGCATGTTTACGGTTAGCGGGATATAATTTTCCAAGATAGCCTCAAACTGAGAGGCACCAACTAGGATAACTTTTTGAAACGTCATTGGCAAGTACTCGAGAAGTAAAACACTCCATGAGCATTTGAAGCAAGATTAATCTCAAAAAGAATTAAAAACTTTGTTCAAAGTTAAATAAAGTAAACGTAATAGAGCCAGCACTTTAAGACCTAGGATCCGCCTTTCTTGTTTCAGATGAGTATTCCACAATGTAGTGCAGATGGCCTCTAAAAATGCTGCGCAGACAGATGACTAGAATCTGCTAACCAAATACCGTCTCTGTTACAGTCTTAAACGAAAGGAAATTGGAGTTGCTGCTTAAATTTCAAAGTAAAGATTACGTTAGACGAAAGCACAAGAATTAACGATACGTCCAGTCATGTTGCTTCGTTCGTTATGCGGCTTAGCTCCCTGAGGTTGCACGGCATGGTCCGGCGATTTCACTTCAGCCAGGGAGGCATCAGGTCAGTGAAGTTCCGCCGCCACAGGTTTCGGGTATAATATGGAAAGGTACTGATATTATATGATATTAAAAATGCAAAGATAAAAAAATATAGATCAATAAATATTTTTTTAATCAAGGGCAGAAAAATAACAAAAACAGGAAGTTAACTAAACACAGCGAGATGCGTCATCCACGACGGATTTCCTCGATTTCACAAAAATTCCCATTACGAACTTGGTGCTTGACAGTGTAGCTGTAATGGATATACGCCAGAAACTGAGCAAACTGTTTGTTTTTTTCACACATAACTATGCAGGATTATTAGATCTTTCTTTTCATCTAGTTCGCACTCAAGACGACGAGCTATACAAAGGCCGAAGGGCCTGATGAGAGCACAAGTCTTGGGCAATCACTCCGACAGAAAGGTGTAAAATTGGGAGCATTTATTTTTAGTAGGATATAGTAATGAAGATCGTCTCGAAAAACAACTTATAGATCACAATGTGGTTTTTTGAAGGAGAAATGGTGCAATATTGAAGGTTTACTTGTCAGTTACTAAATTGCTTACCATACATAAAGAATATATTTCCAACTGGCTACGTTCGGCCATAACTCAGTCCCAACGTTGATGAGGAGCAGCCGTGGCAACTAACAGAAGGCAAACATAGCTGAGATCGAAATCATCATCGGGACGAATTGAAAGTCATATGGTGGACGGCTTCGTTTTCTTAAACCTCTGATTATGCCGAATGACTTCTCCGTTCATAAAAATTTCTCACTGCAACAAAACGAATGCACGTTTTCAAAAGGTGCCAAACGTTAGTCGTAACCAAACTTGTTAAAAATATTCAAGGGCATACACCAATCCGAAAACGGTCACTAGTTAACAGTCGGTAATCGCAGTCGGCCACAATAAACTATTGGTTAAGTGATAAAGCAGATAGGTTTCCAAAAATGTGCAAAAAAAAGAGTGCGCTTCTTTCATAGTCTTCAATCTTGTGCTGGAAAAGGATGATTACTTGAACGGAATTCCGAATTAAGCATATTGTCTGAAGCTGTGAAACAGATAGGCGCACTTTGATAAGAAGGAAATAAGAGATGTTCTGGTTTTGTGCTGTCTTGATCACTCCGGGAATGAGGACCTCTATAGAAGATCAATCTTCATCGCATCGTGCTATTCCTCTGTTATCATGCACCTCCGTCACTACGAACACTGGCAACGCCATGCTTATGCTGTTAATGCTCGCCTCTCTGTTATTTTATATATAAATATATCGAACTAAACTCTTTACTTTAATGCAATCTAAGGAGAATATATTCGACCAACACTCGAGACCATACAGAAACAAGGCAAAAGTTTCAAGGGAGGGTAAACCTCCTATACGCAAATCCGAAGATCTTAGTGCATTAAGGATGCAGCAAACCGAATCAAAGAAGTGCTAGAATGTGCGTAGCCACCACTCGGCGGGTGGTATAAATCATTAGTAGAATACATATTTCTAAATCTTCTCTGTAGTTGAATAGAATAACAATGTCTATCGTAACAAAAAACAACAAAACTGGTGAAAAACAAGATGAAAGTAAGTGGAGGAAAAGGTAACGAGACAAGTCAAGGAAGAACGGAAGTGCGTGAACTTGTCTGAATGTCCACGTCGTTGCTACCAGGTGTGTTTCTTCCGTGTCAAGCACATGATGAGCAACCAGACGAATACCACTGCCAACCAACGGTCAACAATAAATTTAGCACTTAATGATCAACTAATAACATCCTGCATTTATGATACTTCACAGTGACTTACGCTACTGCATCATTGCTTGGAGATTTTTAGAGGTGTGAGTCAGTACATCATTCCGATAAATCCTAAAAAGCCAAGATCCATAACAAACGGATATAATTATGTGCCCAGTTTACACAAAACGGAGAAGTATCTTTAAATGATATACCACGTATAATTGGTCACAGAAATCAACTTAATGGGAAGCATGACCTAAGATCTGAATAGGAGGGAGGTCTGGTTTAGAAGCCTTTGGCAAGCAATTGAGGATGCAGTGAAAAGTTTAATCTCAGTGCTTCCAGATGTACGATTCTCTTCATCTTAAGCATGCTTAGCGACCAATTCATTGCGCGAGCAGAACTAAAGCTGTTGCTGAGACACACATGAAAGAGGCACAAAGTTTCAACCTACATAAACGGAAAGACAAGCAACCATCACCTACATCACTTGTCTTTATTCCCTGTTCGTCGTGAAATA